AATGCCTAGTGTGTGGGTCATTTTTTAAGACAATTCAGTGGACATAGCAAAAAAAAAAAAAAAAAAGTCTTTCTGGAAGATAAAATGCATTGTGTGTTTATATTGATTATTCCAGTTCTAACTCAGGGCTACAGTATTTTTACAGAATCTCTTCAATTTTACATTTGTATCTCTTTTTCCCCAACTTAGATAACACAGGATGATAAAATCATGGTATTACATATTAACTCATTTGAATTATGCCATATTAAATACCTAACAGTCTCAGAAATGGCAGTAGCACTACCAATGTTACTCCTAAAAAGAGTTAAGTTTGTTGACTTGTTATCTTTAAGGTATGTATCACATTAGGGATTTACAGTCAAATTTCTCTATTTCACAGTTACTTAAAATGATTCTTTTTTGTGTAGTTACGCCACCAAATGGATACATACTTTTGTTCATTTGCTTTATTTTATTACTTTTTTTAATGTTTATTTTTGAGAGAGAGAAAGAGTGAGGGGTGGGACAAGGCAGAGAGAGAGGGAGACATAGATTCGGAAGCAGGCCCCAGGCTCGGAGCTTTCAGCACAGAGCCTGATGCAGGACTCAAACTGAAGGTAAGATCGTGACCTGAGCAAAAGTTGGACGCTTAACTGACTGAGCCACCCAGGTGCTCCTGTTTGTTTTATTTTATTTTTTTTTTAAGTTTGCTCTTTTAAAATAAAATTTAAAAAATATCTTTTAATTTTAAGTAGGCTTCGTGTCCAACGTAGGGCTCGAACTCACAACCCTGAGTTGTATGCTTTACTGATTGAGCCAGCAAGGAGCTCCTAAAATTTAATTTAATTTTTAAGTTATATGAAATATTCACTGGTTTTGAAGAGAGTTCTGAAAGCAAAATATATTCCAAGAAGTCTAGCTTCAGTTTCTCATCTGTCTTCCTATTCCTTTTTACCTTTAGATAAACTTGGAAAAAAAAAAGTCCTCTATGCATGTCTGTCTGGGTGTGTTTCAGTGTGTATATGTATGTGTATTCATATGCCCCCTTTGACAGATAAATGATAAAGTACGCTGTGTACACTTTCCTCCACCTTGCTTTTGTCTTTTGATACATACTGATAGTTATTCCATATTTAAGTAGTTATTTGTGCTTTTTATCAGAGTAAATGCATATATAATTTTGCTAGATTTTGCTACATTCCCTCCATGGTGGCTATAACGTTTTGCATTCTCACCAGCAGTATACAAATGTACCTGATTCCCCACAGCCTTGTCAAGTCTGTGTTGTTATGATTGTGTCTCTTTTTCCTGGTCATCGTCCTTGTTCTGCAGTTATTGTCTGAGAGTAGCATAACCACTTCTACTTTCTACTTTTTTTTTATATCAGTGTTTGCAAGTCATGTTGTTTGCCTTTTTTTTTTAACTTTAAATCTTTGTGGGACTTGATATTTAAAATGAGTTTCTTTTAAATATCCTACAGGTTAGTCTTTGTTTAGTTACATTTTTGTTGGTTTGTTTTGGTTTTGGTTGTTTTAATCCAGTTTGACAAACTGTCTTTTGGTTGGAATATTTAGAGCATTATGGTTAGTGTAATTATTGATATAGTTAGATTTAAGCTGCCATCTTTATTTTTGTTTTGTCTTTTCTCTGTTCTCCTTTCCCTCTATTTCTGCCCTCCTTGGGATTAACTGAGTATTTATTTTATTTTTAATTGTTTTTTAAAGTATTTAAATTCCAGTTAACATACAGTGTAATGTTAGTTTCAGGTGTGCAGTATACTGCTTCAGCACCTCCATGCAACAGTGCTCATCACCACAGGTGCACTCCTTAATTCCTGTCACCTTATTTAACCCATCAGTTTGTTCTCTATAGTTAGGAGTCTGTTTCTTGTTTCTTGGTTTGTTGCTCTCTTTTCTTCCTTTGCTCGTTTGTTTTGTTTTGTTATCTTCACTACTGGAGATAATCTACATTCAAATAAAATTATATCACTTAATGTATATTATAAAAGTTTTGCAACAGTATATCTCCATGCCTTCCCCCTCTAAGCTTTTGTTGGCATATTTTGTTTCTGAATATGTTATAAATTCTACAGTGTGTTGATATTTTTGCTCTAAACAGTTTGATAAGTCTTGGATTAACAGTGGTAGATTTATTGGTACACACACATTTACCATTTCTGTCACTCTTCATTTTTTAGATATCTGTATTTTCATCTGGTATCATTTTTCTTCTAGAATAACTTTATTTCTTATCGTATAGTTCTGCTTGTAATTCATTATCTCAGCTTTTCTTTCTCTGAAAAAAATCTTTATTTTGCCTTCATTCTTGAAAGGTATTTTTTCTCAGTAGAATTCTAGATTGGCAGTTTATTTTCATTTAGTACCTAAAAGATGTCACTGCATTATTTTCTGGATTGCATAGTTTTTGATGAAAAGTATTCCTCTGTATATATTGTTTTTGCATATGTAATGTGTATTTTTTTTCAGACTATTTTTAGGATTTCTTTTCTTTATCACTGTTTTTACCAAATTGATAATGGCATGTCTTGGAATGATTTACTTTATGCTTCTTCTCCTTGCAGCTTATTGAGATTTGGGGGACTATGGGTCTTTTTCCCATCAGATTTGGAAAAATTGTGGCAACTATCTCTTCAGATATTTTTTTCTGTTCACCCCTCCTCACCTCTTTGTTTTCTAGGACTCCAGTTGCATGTATTTTTGACTACTTGATACTGTCTTACAGGTCACTGATGCTCTGTTCTTTTTTTTTTTCCTGTCCTTGTTTCCCTCTGGTTTTATTTTGCATAGTTGCTATTGCTATGTCTTCAAGTTCACTGATGTTTTCTTCTGTAACAGATAATCTACTTTTGATCCTATTGGTATATTTTTCATTACAGGTTTTGTATTTTTCATAGTAGTTGCATTTGGGTCTTCTTTATGTGTTTCATTTCTGTCCTCATGTTCATGTTTTCTTGGGCATATGGAGCATCTTGATAACAGCTGTTTATGTCTTTGCTAATTTTGTCACCTGTGCCATTTCTGGGACTATTTCTATTGATGAATTTGTTTTCCTCGTTATGTATTACAAGGTCTTTCCACTGTGGCTGGTGGAGACCTGAATTACTAGCAGCCCCAGGTGCGTTAGGGAATTTCTTGGCTTATTGCTTTCCAGTGTTCTTTTCCTGGTCTCAGGTAGTTTTTTTCTTCCTCATGCATGGCACTGATTATTATTCAGTCAGTGACTTGCGACACCCCTCTGTGGATCTCCAGAATTCAAGCTTTCTTGCTGTCTTTGTAGCTCACTCCTCTGTGGAACTCTGTCCTAGAAATTATAGCTGCTTCAACTCCCATCTCGGTCTCCCTCAACTCCATGCTACCACCAGATTCTTACTGGGTTACTTCTCCTTACATGGCAGTCTGGAGCCCTGCAGGCAGCAAGTGAGGATAGATGTAGGCCTCTTGTAGTTTATTTTCCATCTTTTAGGGATTACAGTCATATGCTGCCTGTTGTCCTGTGTCCAAAACCTTTAACATGTTTATCTGTTTTCTGCTTGTTTAAAGTAGGAGAGAATCCCATTTCAGATATGCCCTCATCATGTGAACTTTTAATTGGTATGTTTTTAATTGTTTGTAAATGAGTGAAAGTAAACGTCTTTTCACACATCTCTATCACACATAAATATCTACTTATTTTAATATTTATTTTTGGGAGGGAGAGAGAGAGAGAGAGAGAACACACACGTGAGTTGGGGAGGGACCGAGAGAGGGAGACACAGAATCCAAGGCAGGCTCTAGGCTCTGACTGCCAGCACAGAGCCCGATGCGTGGTTCGAAGTCTCTCAGATCATGGTCTGACCTGAAGTCAGATGCTTAACTACTGAGCCACCCAGGTGCCCCTGTATATCTACTTTTGAAAAACTTTATTTTATGTCCAGCCCATTTGTCCATGATATTGCTTGTCATTTCATTCTATATTTGTAGACGATCCTTACATTAAGGATATTAACCCTTTGTGAAACAAAATGTAGAATTTCCCCTCAATTTATCACTTGTCTTTTTATTATATTTTACTGTTGGTGTCTTTTGTGATACTCTATTACTGTTGATGAATTATTGTATCTATGAATTCTTAGTATTTGGGCCCTGGGTTGGTATTGAGCAAGGAGGTAGATTCAGAAGTTGCTTTTACTGTGAGATGTTTGAATAGTTGGGCTAAGAGATCTTGCTTTATTCATTATTCTAAGTTTTTGTGTTGTGTAATGATATGATACCTGAACCTTCTTCCAGCTACATGACTTACTCCAGAACTCTGCTCAAATGTTACTTTATCTGCAGGGTCTTCTGTAACCACCCTCTTTCAAATTATAATACTCACACACCTCTCCCCGCTCCCTATCCTGTCTTCTTTCTTTTCCTTTTTGCCTCCACAGAAGTTATCCCAACTTGACGTAACACATATTTTGCTAATTTATGTATTATTGTTTGTCTTGTCCAAAATATGCTGGTAGCATGAAGGCAAGCATTTTGGGACTTTTAATAGTGCCCAGCACATAGTAAATACTTAGTTTGTATAGGTTTTATAATCCGATTTCCCGTTATGTAGGTTGTCCTGGTATAAAATGAAAAATGAATCAGAAGAAGAAAGGGACTTGAAAAAGTTTAGGTCCCATTATAGTGGTCTTATATGTTGTATAAGGTGGCAACAATTTAGCGGGAGTGATAGCTGTGAGAATAAAAGAGAAGAAGCTAATGGGAATGACATTAAGAAGAAATGGGTTGCCATCCATGTTTGTATTTAGAATTGTTAAGTAAAAAGAAAAAAACTCTTGTATTTGGACTGTATTTTTAATATAGATGTTTATAAAGCAGAATTAGAGACAGTTAAAAATGAGTTCAAGTAGATTTTTTTGTTCTTACAAAACATTACTTAAAAAATACAAATGGTAAAGTATCTAGTGGAGTCTTGCTGATTTTTCTGGTTTACTGTTTTTCTTTAATTTCATTTTTTGTTTTCTTTAGAGCTTTGCTTCCTGTTTTACATCACAAATCTAAAAAAGGACCCCCCCGTCAAGCCAAATACGCCATTCATTGTATCCATGCGATATTTTCTAGTAAAGAGACCCAGTTTGCACAGATATTTGAGGTAAAGAGAAAAAAAAAATTTTTTTTTGTTTCATATATTATAATTAAAAAACACATATTAATGATTTTATAGAATGTTCACATTTGGAGATGCATCATTTTATAGTATGTTTTCAGGATTTGAATCAGTATAATCAATATTGGTGAGTGGTTAAAATATGAAAATATCTGATTATTTAGATGTTTAGTACTAACTTAAATTCAGAAATCAAACAATTATATCGTAATTTTCGGTAGCTTTTTTCATTAATAAGTAACTATATATAAAATCATACTTAGTGATAATCAGTAATGATTATTCTGTCAGTTTATAGGTTTAAAAATTAGAGTTCTGTTTACGAGATACTGCTGAAGTTTGTGGAGTTTTGTCAATTCTAATTGGTAATATAAAGTACAAATAGATTTATACTTAGATAATCACTGACCTAATTTTATACAGATTAAATTGTTTTTTAAATACATATTTCATATTATTTTTTCTATTTTATTAAATAGAAATTACTATTTCCCTTTCTAAGCATTGCATTTTATTTTAATCTACTATAATCTGGGGCTATCTTTAGTATTCTTACTATATATTTAGCATTTTTACATAGTGCAGGAACCTTGAATGAAATCAAAGCAGTTTGGAAAGTATGCTGAAGCTACTTCACCATAAAAACTTTGACTTGTTATCCCTGTTTTGAAACATTTATGGTAACCTTTTCAAATCTTCATGTATAATGCTAAAGACCTGAACAAGGAAGAAAAGTAGTTGTCTTTATCAAACATTGTCTTTGCTGTATATAGCAAATAACTTATTTTTAATTTTGTGCCTTTTGGGGTGGAGGCATTTTTTGTAGTCTGTTTTTATATATGAGAATGACTTTAATGAATTCATGTTGATTTAGAAAGCTTTTGTTTTTCTTGATTAGTCTCCTTTCTATTCCTTTCAATGGTGATAAAGAGCAAGATAACATTAATAATAACTTGAATTTGTTATGTACTTTTATTTTCATTTTGATATTATATATCTGGTATTTTATTTATTTTTTTCTCTGATATTTTATTTTATCTTTACCATAACCTAACCTGTAATCCTTCTGCTATAATGTATAGGTTGGCTACCTTCTGAGAAAAGGTTTCATAGAGGTATCTGGCCTTTATGAGATTACTGTTAATCCAGGGTCTATTAATTTTGCTTTCTTAGAAATGATTTTATTACCTTATTTTGTAAAATTGTCACACTCATTATTGAAAAACCCGCATGATCAGATTTTCATTTATAATACAAAGAATCTGGCATTTTGGTGTACAATGGAAGTATTGAGGGAAGTCATCAAGAATAGCGAGAAGTAAACTCATTTAAATATACTTTTGGCCAAATGAAACCTTATATTGACCCGATATTTTAGGGGAAGAACAGTTTAATATTGTTTTTCAAGCCTAGAATTCTTGGTGTTCAGCATGGGAGGACAGCATCAACTCTTTATTAAAAGTGTCACTGAAAATTTTAATAATCTATTTACTTGTTTACAAATCAAAAGATACAAAACAAATCCAAATAGTAAGTAGTAAAATAATAAGTTTTCTCCTCCATCTCAGCCCCGTATCCCCAGCTACCCACTTCTCATTCCCAGAGGTAACCAGTGTTATCAGTTTCTAATACACTTTTCTCAAGAGTATTTATTCATAATATACATAATACACACACACGCACACACAACACACACAAAATCACAACATAGATTTTGTCCCTTTCCCTCTCTGCTTATGCTAGTGATAGTCTACTATAGTCACTCTTGGGATTTCCCTATTTTAAAATTGTAACAAAACATTTTAGGTATTATCCTACATGGGTATACGAGGAGTCTCATTCTTTTGTCATGGCAAAATATGTATTAATGTTTGAGTTTTCTATCAGAATAATAAAAATAATTCTCTTAGTTGTGGCACTTAATAGTTGATGGTATAAAAATGCACAAAAATGCATGTGACTCTGTATAATAAAGTTTATTTCTTGCTCCTGAAAAAATGTCCAGTTGGGTGTTTGGATTGCATTCTAATCAACAGTTTAGACACACAGACTTTTTTTGACAAATGGCTTCTCTTTTTAGTCCCGCTGGAACCTTGGTAGTAAGCCTGTCAGTGAGTAAAGAGAGAATATGGAGAAGATACATTTCTCATACTTGCTTCAGTGCGGGGATTGCATACCTCACTTTTACCCCCAATCTGTTAATAACCAGTGCTTTTTCACATATTCTCATCTAACTGCAGAAGAAGCTGCATGTGTAGCCATGCAGGAAGTAGAACAGAAGTGGATATTGGTGAACACTGCCAGTCTCTAACATATTCATCTATGTGATCATAAAATATACAATACATAATATGATTCTCCCATGCTGAAGTTTTTTTTACCTATTTCTAAAATATGACTTGGGCAAAACTGAAAATAATTAAATGTGATGCCTTTTAGATATAAATAACCTATAGTTTAAATATAAGCTTGAGCTACTACTTACATCATGTATATGTATTGAAGCTTCTATAGGTTTTTTTTGATTTGAGCATGAAATATGTGAAGTTTATTTACATATTTATAGAGTTGAATATGTTTTCCTTTTCTCATTTTCAGCCTCTGCATAAGAGCCTAGATCCAAGCAACCTGGAACATCTCATAACACCATTGGTTACCATTGGGCATATCGCTCTCCTTGCACCTGATCAGTTTGCTGCTCCTTTGAAGTCTTTAGTAGCTACTTTCATTGTGAAAGATCTTCTCATGAATGATCGGGTAATTTATATTTTTTAGACCTGTGTTCCTCACATTGTTATCTTCTAAAAGTGAAATGTTGTAAATAACACTTCCATTTGGCTGCTTTCTTTGAGGTTTTCCTATCTTTTTAACATGCTGTTATCTCCAGTAGAACTAGAGGCATTGAAACATGTCTTTAGTTGAGCATATGCATGTAACCTGCAATACATTCCTTGATAAATAAAAAATATCATTTGATTTTCTTTCAGCTTTACAGTGGATTAATTTTTATAATGATATCTATTTTTATTTTTTTTTATTTTTTTTCTTAAAAATTTTTTTTTTCAACGTTTATTTATTTTTGGGACAGAGACAGAGCATGAACGGGGGAGGGGCAGAGAGAGAGAGGGAGACACAGAATCAGAAACAGGCTCCAGGCTCTGAGCCATCAGCCATCAGCCCAGAGCCTGACGCGGGGCTCGAACTCCTGGACCGCGAGATCGTGACCTGGTTGAAGTCGGACGCTTAACCGACTGCGCCACCCAGGCGCCCCATGATATCTATTTTTAAAAATGTGAAGACTGACAAGCTAGGTCACATTATGGTTGTCATGACAATAGTTGTTTCTTTCCCTCCATACAGTAGAGAATTAAGAGCACTAGGAGAAAACATTAGGAAAGAACTAAGTGATTTTGTCTGTCTTCAGTTTGTGAGTATTTGGGGTAGGGCATGTTTGAGTCTGGGAGAATTGACTCCTTATAGTCATGTGGCATTTTGTGCATGTGTGTGCATATTTATGTATACACACACATATAAACATGCATGTGCAGACACTTATGTAACCAGTTTTGTGGCTGCTGTGTGCTCAGCACTGTACTAGGTTCTTTGGAGAATTAAAAGAAGTATAAGATAAAGTTTCTCCTCTTAAAATATAGTTATAAACCTTGCAGTGTGTAGCTATATTACTTACATGTTTCATATTCATCATTATCTTCTATTAATATACTTTAATGTACTATTAATACTTTTAAACTGATTTATTATGGAAAAATAGTTTTGGGAGATAATAGTCAAGATAATTGTATGTATTAGATCTCTGATGATTTGTGGCTATTTAACTTTGGTTGACCAGAGCCCTGTAATTTGGAGACCAAAGGCCTGTGTTAATTACCATTGTCCCTGGCTGTGTTCTTCAGCTATGTCTCTCACTTTTCTTCTCCCTAAGTACAGTATTTCATATGTTCTTTCGGTTATGTATGCTAATCATGTGTTTCAAGTTTGATATCCTTACTTTGTTTTGTTTTCTTTAATGCAGAAATTTTGTTGAGATAAAAGTGCATACTTTTTAAGGGTGTGGTTCATTAAGGTTTCACAAAGTTAGCATTTTTGACCAGCTGACAATCCAGGCAAAGAAGTAGAAATTTACCAGACTCCCAAAACCCCTGTGTCTTTTTCTTGTTATTAACCTTCCCTTCTCCCAGAAGATAACCATAATCCTGACTTCTAACACCAAAGATTAGTTTTACCTGTTTTTGAACGTTTATAAATGGAATTATGTAGAGTAAATTTTTTATGTCTGACTTTTTCTTAACTCAGTATTACATTTGTTAGATGAATCCATCCTGGTGTATATAGCAATGGTTTGTTCATGTTTGTTGCTGTATAGTATTCCATTGTTTGTGTATGCCATGTATCTGCTCTGTTGCTAAACATCTAAGTTACTTCTGGTGTTAAATGCATACCGCTATTACAAATACTCTTTTACATATCATTTTGTGCACTTATGTATGAATTTCTTTTTTAGTTGCTGTATCTTAGAGTATAAGTATGTATAAGTGGTTTTAGTAAAATTTGCCAAATTATTTTTCTTTCTTTCTTTTTTTGCCAAATTGTTTTTCAAAATGATTATACCAACTAATATTCTTATATATGCTGAATGAGGGTTCTAGTTGTACCATTTCCTTGACTGTACTAGATATGGCAGTCTTCAACATTTTAGTCATTTTATGAAGTGTAATGAATGATATGCCCTTAGGCACATTTTCATATTTGTATTGACATTTTGGTTCTCCTCTTTCGTGAAGTGTCTGCTCAAGCATCTTCCACATTTTTCTATTAAATTGTCAGTCTCTTATATTCATTTGTAAGATTTCCTCATGTATCTTGTTGGCAATATGGTTAGCAAATCTCTTTTCCCACTTTGTAACATGCCTTTCACTCTCTTAATGGTGTTTTTTTTTTTAATTAAAAGTTTTTTTTTTTTTTTAATGTTCATTTATTTTTGAGACAGAGAGAGACAGAGCATGAATGGGGGAGGGTCAGAGAGAGAGGGAGACACAGAATCCGAAGCAGGCTCCAGGCTCCAAGCTGTCAGCACAGAGCCCGACGCGGGGCTCAAACTCACGGACCGTGAGATCATGACCTGAGCCGAAGTCGGACGCTTAACCAACTGAGCCACCCAGGCGCCCCCTTAATGGTGTTTTTTGATGAGCAGAAGTTCTTAATTTTAACAGAACTCATTTTATTATTTTCTTTTTAGTACTTGTCTTTTTTGTCTACTCCAAGGTTGTGAACATATTCCCTGTATTATTTTCTAGAACAATGGTAATATACAAGCTTCTAGCCACATGTAGCTATATAAATTTAAGTTTAAACTAAATATAATTGTAAATCTAGTCACACATTTCAAGTGCTCACTAGCCACATACTGCTAGTGTCGAACAGCCCAGAACATTTCTGCCATTTCAAAGTTCTGTTAGACAGTGTTGCTCTAGAAGCTATATTTATTTAACTTACACATTACACTCTGAAGTCTACTTGGGATTGATTTTTATATATGGTATATGATTACTATCCAGATTCATTTTCTTTATTTCCATCTGACTCAACTCACATTTATTGAAAAGACTGTCTTCCTTGCTGCATTTAAAAAAAAAAATTGAGATGAAATTCACATAATGTAAAATTAGCTGTTTAAAGTATAGAATTCAGTCACATTTTATGTAGTACATTGACAATTTTGTGTGACCGCCACTTCTGTCTAGTTCCACATCATTTTCATTAAGCAGTCACACCACATTTCCCCAGCCCTGGGCAACCACCAGTCTCCGGTCTGTCTTAATGGATTTAACTGTTGTGAATATTTCCTATAAATGGAATCCTGCAATATGCGACTTCTTGTGTTTTTCTTCTGTCACTTAGCATAATCTTTTTGAGGTTCATGTTGTAGCATACATCAGTACTTCATTCCGTTTTATGGCTGAATAATATTCTGCTGTATGTATTTATCACAATTTGTTTATCCATTCATTCAGTGATGGACATTTGGGTTATTCCCACCTTTTGAATATTATGAAAAGTGCTGCTATGAATTTTATGGCTGGGTATTTGTTTGAGTACCTGTGTTTAGTTCTTTGGGTATTTTCCTAGGTATATACCTTTGCTAGATTATATGGTGATTCTGTGTTTAACTTTTTTATTTTAGAGAGTGCTCAAGATGGGGAGAGAGGCAAAGGGGGAAGAGAGAAAGAGAAAGAGAAAATGAGAATCTTTGGCAGACCCATGCTCAGTGCAGAGCCTGACACCAGGCTCCATCCTATAACCCTGAGATCATGACCTGAGCTGCAATAAAGAGTTGGGCTCTCAATTGACTGAGCCACCTAGGTGCCCCAGTGTTTAGCTTTTTGAGAAACTGACAAACTATTTTCCACAGAGGCTACACCAATTTACCTTCCCACCAGCACTGTATGAAACTTCCAGTTTTCTCCACATCCTCGCCAACTTTCTATTTTCTGTTAATTTGATTATAGCCATCCTAACGGGTGTGAAGTGGCATCTCACTGTGGTTTTGATTTGCATTTCTCTAATGATATCGAGCATCTTTTGATGTACTTATTAGCCATTTGTGTATCTTTTGGAGCAAAGACTATACGTGTCTTTTGCCCATTTTTTTAGGGCTCTGTGTTGAGTAGTGAAAGTTCTTTATACTTTCTAGACACAATTCTCTTGTCAGATCCATAGTTTGCAAATATTTTCTCCCATCTTGTAGGTTGTCTTTTAAGTTGTCCTTTAATTTTTTAATTGAGATATAATTGATATGTAACATTATTTAGATGTGTGCAGTGGAATGATTCAGTATTTTATATACTTTGAAATGATCACCACAAAAAGCCTAGTTAATATCCATCCCACACAGTTACATTTTTTCCCCCCTGTGGGAACTTTTAAGATCTTGGCAGCTTATCAAATATACACTATATGGCATTACTAACTGTAGTTACCAGGCTGTACATCACATTCCATGACTTATTTATTTTATAACTGTAAGTTTGTGCCTTTGACCCCATTCAGCCATTTTGCCCACCTACCCCTTCCTTTGTCAACTATCAGTCTAGTCCATGTATCTTTGATATTATATTAGCCAGTCTGATAAGTGCGAGGTTATATCTCATTCTGGTTTTGATTTGCATTTCGTTGATGATTAGGGACACTGAGCATCTTCTCATGTGTCCTCTGTATGTTTTCTTTGGAGATATTATCTATTCAACTCCTCTGCCCATTATTTAATTGGGTTGTGTTTTTGATACTAAGTTGTGTAAATTCTTTATATATTTTGGATATTAGCCCCTTATCTGTTGTATGATTTGCAAGTATCTTCTCCCATTCAGTAGGTTGCCTTTTCTTTTTGTTGGCAATTTCTTTTGCTGTGCAAAAGATGTTTAGTTTGGTATAGTCCCGTTTGTTTATTTTAGTGTTTGTTCCCCTTGCCTGGGGAGACTCTTGCAAAAAGTTACTGCTGAGACAAATGTCAAAGAGCTTACTGCCTGTGTTTTCTAGGAGTTTTATGATTTCAGGTCTTTTATTTAAACTTTTTCCCTTTTGAATTTGTTTTTATATGTGGCGTAAGATAGCATGTAGCTGTCCAGTTTTCCCAACACTCTTTATTGAAGAGACTGTCCTTTTCCCATTGTATATTCTTGTGTCCTGTGTCATAGATTGTGTGACTGTACTAGAAGCACACACACACACACACACACACA